CGAACAATCACCCGGTGGTGTAGTAAAACTGCGACAACAAGACAACAATCTGGACTGCGCCGCTACATAATCGTGACGGAATCGCGCGACCTAGGGCCTACGATTAAACTCCATCATTGACTTGGAGTGTCTGTTCGCACTTCCACGGCTTCGCCTCTGCACGGAATTGACAAGGCTGATAGCCGCGCTCGAGGACCCGCGAAGAATCTTTCAGGCCGGCGGGATCACCGGATACACATAGCGGACGCACCCATCAAACATCTCCCTCGCTCCAGCCACACGAGGCGCGCGAGCACTCATGTCGAACCGCAAGCGGCGCGCGCCGGGTGCTTCACCACAGGCACCCACTCAGGCGTACCAGCACGACATCCCCGCGACCGACTCATACATGAACTGGAACGACCCCACGGCTGGCGCAGATATGAACTTCACTGACCCGCCGCTATACGACTACAACGGCCAGAGCATGGGCGGAGGCCACAGCCGCGTCGTGTCGCTCGATGGATACAACGACGGCGCGGAAATGGCGGGGCAATTGGTACGGCGAAACACAAACCAGCAACTTGCACCTGCGCCACGGCGGAATCAGTGGGATGGATTTGCTAGTCCGACGCAACAGTGGGAGACGGTGGATGACGACGAGGAGCTGGAGCAGAAGGCGGCTATTGCCAAGAAGGATGCACAGGCGAAGCGGAAACAGATCCCGCCGTTTGTGCAGAAGTTGAGCAGGTGAGTATCTTTGCAGAGTATACCTGGAACAGTGACTGACGTTGACAGTTTCCTCGATAACAACAAGAACGAAAACCTCATTCGCTGGTCGGACGACGGCAACTCCTTCATCGTGCTCGACGAAGACGAATTTGCGAGGACGCTGATACCCGAGCTTTTCAAGCACAACAACTACGCATCCTTCGTACGGCAACTGAACATGTACGGCTTCCACAAGAAGGTGGGACTCTCGGACAATTCGATGAAAGCCAGCGAGACAAAAGCGAAAGCACCTAGCGAGTACTACAACAAATACTTCAAGCGCGGTCGACAAGAGTTGTTATGGTTGATCCAGAAGCCGAAGAATCCTGTTACCGGACCTAAGCGGAAACGAGACGAAGAAAACAAGGGCGATAGCGACGAAGACCGCAAGTATATTCAAGATACAGGGGGCGGAGGCTACGTTGAGGAAGTAGCCGTCAGAGGAAACGAGCAGATGGCCATGATCCCGCGATCCGAGTACAACAGCCTGCGGGTTGAAGTTAGGGAACTCCAGCAGCAACAAAAGCTCATCTCCAATGTCCTTACCCAGATCAAACGCCAAAATGAGGAGCTTTATTCTCGAGCGACATCGTTCCAAGCGCTGCACGACCGCCACGAGAACTCTATCAATGCCATTTTGACATTCCTCGCCACTTTCTACAATAGGAGCCTAGAGGGTAACGCGAACATGAATCTGGCAGACATGTTCCCCGCGGCACGACAACAACACCACGGCAATGTCGTGGACGTCGACGACTATCCCATGCAGGAAGCACAAAAGTCACCGCAGTTGCAGAGGAACAAGAAACCGCTTGCCATTCTACCAGCGCCGGCTCCGAACCAGGACTACCTCGCTCCAACGACGACAGGTCGCGCCACGACCATGAGCCCAACAGCCCGGCCACTCGCTAGTCCCATCACACGGCCTGGCAGTCGACAATCAGTGTTCAGGCCCTCAGTATCGATGAATCGCCAGCAGTCCCAGTCGTCACCATTTTCCCAACAAGCCAGAGACGGCATAACCCCCTCCCAAGTCAAACCCGACCCCGCCTCCAACCTAGGCCCACTAGCCGACAACTCCGCCATCATGTCCGCCATCCAAAACGCCAACGCCACAGCAACCAACCACTCCGGCACTTCGCAACCCCCACCTTCAGACTTTGACTACGCCGCCGCTTTATCGAATTACCAAACCCAAGACGGTCACGTCCCTCTCACCCCACAACAACGCAACGACGTCCTCTCCCAGATCGTGAACAATACCTCCGCCCAAAACACAAACAACGCGCTTACCAACCCGCATCCGCCTGAAATGGACCGCTTGCTGGGTGACCTAGCGCAGTACCAAGCGACGCAGCAACAACTAGAAATGCTACAAAAGTTGTCCGACCAGCAAAACAGCAAGATCCAACACATCCACGAGCGTATCCTGCCGCTATCCCCCACAGGCCAGATCTCTGGACTTGGCGAGGGCAACGACGGGTATTTCGGCGGCGCAGCCGGCGACGACGGCGGCCTAGGCGAACCCGGTGGTTTCGACCTCAACATGGGCCACTTCGTCAACGACGACGATTTCTTCACCGCAGACGCGAATCCCCCCGATCAAAAAGCTACAAACGGGATTAACGGCATCAACACCAATACCAACGGTGGTGGTCTACCTGATTTCACATTCGATGCTAGTACGCCGTTTGATGTTGATCCCGCGAACGGCGATGCTGGCTTTGATTTTGCGGATGAAGCGAATGGGATTGGGGGCGAGGACCCTGGGTTGCTCGGTGTGGATGATGCGACGGGTGCGAATGGGAATGGGAATATGAATGGCGTGGGTAAGATTGAGAGTACGGCGAGTGGGGGGAGTAGTAATAGTACGAGTCCGGCAGCGACGGTGGAGGAGGTGGAGGATGAGACGAGGAGGGGGATTGGTAGTGGGGGTGGGGGTGGGAGTGCGAAGAGGAGGAGGAGATAGACGGGTGGATATGAGAGATTGTACAAAGACGAAGGGGAACAGGGACGGCAAGGGATGGGATGTTGTATTTGATTTGCGGAGGGATTACGACAGTCACGACTGGATCGAGTGTTCTATCAGCCACGCGTCTTTTTCGCTGGCATTTTTCTTACGGCTGTGTTCTTGTTTGCATGCACATGTCGTGTTTTTTCTTTCTTTTTCTTCTATTCGTAGTAGGAAGAAGGAATGTTAGATACCCCACTTCTTCACATGTTCGCGTTTGCTGGTGTTGTTGGAGATGTGGTGACATACTGAGAGGTCTTCTCAAGTCCTACCTCAATTCCTTGCTGAAGTCGATCGCGATGTAGAGATGATTCATTATTATGTGTGCCCGACTATATAGGTGAAGACTGGCTGTTACCCAGCAAATCGCACCCCGCCGTATCTCTATACCTACCCCACTCGAGATCGAGCCACTCTTGCTGTCCCAGTCTTTCAAACAAACTCACGACTTCTTCACTGGGTCTCCAGTCGCCAATCTGCCACTGCACCACCGGTGGTCTTGGTGCTGCAGCAGCATCGCCGTTCTTCTGCGTCTGACTACCACGCCCAGCAATGAACTTGACACCCCATCTATGCCCCTTCTTCATCCGCAAACCAAATTCCTCTATTTCCCTTTCGTCCGAGGGGTGCCACCACAGATGCGTAAACACCTCCGCATCCTCAAGATCCGGCATGTTGTCGCGAGTCAGCGACGTCGCAAACGCCGCAAGCAGCGGCTCGATGCGCTCTCTGCAGGGCTGGACGCGGAACATGTTTACACCGTATTCGGGTCCGTCGGTGACTTCGTAATCATACTGCGCACAAAGATCTCCGCACTCATTTGGGTCGATCTCATGGGGGTAATGTTCGGTGTCTGAGATCTTATAGCCTCCTTGTTCAGAGTCGTGGGGGTCCTCGCCTCGGGGACCGATGAAGTACCACCGCCCGTCTGGACGCAAGGGATGGAATTCGAGTCTGAAGCGCCGCATTTGTGACCATTGCTGCGGGGTTGGTGCGTCGGGAATGGGGAAGAGGTCGGGAGTCACCATGGCGCGGATGTCGAATGTGCTTAGTTGTGTACCGAGATCACATAGGCCGATGGATACTGGGTCTTTGTCTGCGGGGTGGATCAGGTTGGGTCGGGCTATCGACTGGTCGTGCTTGGGGAGTGAGAAGAAAGGCCAGAAGTGGATTGCGGCTCTGGTCAGGCTGGCGGGGATCCTCTTGCCGCAGAGGTGCTCCTCCTGGTCTATGATGGCAGCGCCGAACTCGTGACGGGCGTCTCGTAAGGGACCTTCCCACGGCCAGGTCCAATGCTCGCGCATCACCTTGCTCGAAATGGCGGAAGGCATGGGTCTTTCCCATAACCAGCGGGCGGTCCATTCTTGGATAGCTGGCAGGTGGACGAGGCATTGCAGTGGTACGAGGGGAGATAGAGGGCGTATGTCTCTTGCGGTATCGGCTTCGAAGCCACACGCTGACCTGATGGATAGGCTGCTTATGAAGGGTAGATCTGGTAGTGTCTTTGGGTTGTGCAGCTGCAGGCGATGTGAGTGGTGTCTGTGGTGGTAGCATACCAGATATTCTAGGTCGTCTGTGTCGTACTTTTGTGTCTCGATTTCGAGACTGAGGGCGATGCTGGCTGGCGGGTCTTCAGCTGCTTTATACGCAGCGGCACTCTGCTCGTAAACGGCATGGATGCGTGCGGATATGTGGGCGCTGATGGCGAGGGTTTCCTCTGCAGGTTCATGGCATGGTAGTGGCGGGTCTGCTTGTTCATCGACGAGGATGAGCGGTAGTGGGAGCCAGTATTGTAAACACCCGTACTTTTCGTTGAAGGCTGCTTTGACTTGTTCGAAGAGTTCACGTTCGAAATCGGGGTCCGTCTCCCGGAGCGGCATATTGGTTCATGACCTAGCATGCTATTACAACGTTGCGTGATAGGCTCTGCCTAGGCCCCGCCTCTAGTCTCTCCCACCTGCAGGGTGTTAGAGACGCAGACGCACGTGGGGTGCTCCGCACTGCGCTTGATCTCACACGTCGCTGCACTCGACTGTGCCATGACTTACGTTCCTCCTGCGGCTTAATGTGCATGACTCGGCCGCCCGTTTGCGTGTCCGGCCCGTTCAGACGGGTAGGCGTCAGTCACTCATAGTAGGCCAGACGGGTAGCCGTGATGACGGGAGTGGTGACGGGAATGGTGACGGGAGTGCGAAGATATAGATAGCAACATGGCTGTTCGGGGCCGGCATCGCACACCATGAGCGCAACACTTGCACCCCCCAGCGTCGACGTCGGCACCCTGTCGCCCGCGCCCGCACCCGCCAAGTCACGTGCCTCCACAGCCACGAAGAAACAGACCCCAACCGCCCTAGTCTCGCTGCTATCCGGTGCCGTCGCGGGCGGCGTCGAGGCCACAGCAACCTATCCCTTCGAGTTTGCCAAGACGCGCGCCCAACTGCAGGCCGGCAGCGGTGGCCCCAAGAACCCCTTCGCCGTGGTCGCTCATGTCGCCCGCACCCATGGCGTCGGCGCCATCTACACGGGCTGCTCCACGCTGATAGTGGGCACCGCTTTCAAAGCTGGCGTGCGCTTCCTCTCCTTCGACTCGATCCGCAACCGCCTCGCTGACGAGCATGGCGTGCTGTCTCCCGCGCGCGGCGTGCTGGCAGGAATGCTAGCCGGCTGCGTCGAGAGCATCGTCGCTGTCACGCCTACGGAGCGCGTCAAGACGGCCCTGATCGACAACGCGAAGAGCACCAGTGCTGCGCGCTATCGCGGGGGCCTCCACGCCACCCAAATGATCCTCCACACTCACGGCCTGCCTGGCCTATATCGCGGGCTCGTCTCCACCACCATGAAGCAGTCAGCCACCTCTGCCGTCCGTATGGGCTCCTACAATGTCTTGAAGGATGTCGCGCGCCAGAAGAACTTGCCGCAGAATAGCTTCGTCACGTTCGGGCTGGGTGCCATAGCCGGCACCGTTACTGTCTATGCAACACAGCCTTTCGATACCATCAAGACGCGCGCCCAGAGCGCACAAGGCGCGAGTACAATGGAGGCCTTTTGGAGCGTTATGCAACATGCTGGCGTTCGCGGTTTCTGGAGTGGAAGCACGATGCGACTGGGTCGATTGGTCTTCAGTGGCGGCATAGTCTTTACTGTATATGAGAAGCTAGCAGCTCTTATGACTCCGTCATCGTTATAGACCTCGGGTGTTTTCAGTGGCGTTGATTGATATCCATGGAATCTTGCTTTGCTCCATGTCGTCTAGTGTTACGATAGATATACCATTATTATTACTACCAATGTTGTGTATCAAACCGCATACCGCTGGGCTCAAACTAAGGACTACACATGATATTATGATCAAACACCTGTGGATAGACGCGCTATGCTGCATAGCTTTGATGGCCTTCAACAGAGTAGTTGCGTTTTGTTGTATTGTGATAGTAGATTGGAATAATCCTGACTGTGCACGATCCGACGTGCTAGGGTGGGGCACTTTGAGCGCCTTATCTGGTCCGATAACCGACGGGCTGGTACAACGTCGTTCATCGCACGTGGCCAACGCTGCATCTTCTCCTGGCTTTCACGAACGCCGCATCTGACGCTCTGGCATCTCCCGCGGCAATGTCATGCGAGGGCGACCCCATGGCAATCGCAGTCTAACGTCCAGCCGCGGGACGGCAAGGGCTACCTACACATCCCGCGGCAACGCATGCGGCTTCGACTTACCCGCGGGAAGGAAGGGCTCGCTTCGAGGCATGGCGTGTCAACAACGCTCCGAGATCCTTCGCGTACCGGCATCCCCTCGCTCTAGCTTCTTGGAACCAGCCTTAGTTGCCAAACGGGGACTGACAGTGGCGCATATCCACTGCCATGGTTCGCCGTTTCCTGGGGCCCCGCATTCCCCAGGCCTGTTCACGTTCTTAGCCTTTTCTCTAGACCCTTGGTATGCTTGCTAGACGCCTTTGGCAACTGAATCCGCAAGATAGCCCGCGACCAATCGTGCAAAGGCTTTTCAAATGGCAAATTATCTATATAACGACGAGGTTGGTGTCGTGATGATGCATCATCCATTCACAGCTCGGTCATCGACGCACTCAACACAGCAACATGACGAACACCAACGAGAAGATGACGAGCATCGACGAGAAGATGGCAGGTGCTGAGTTCAAGGAGGTAGCTCCAGAATCTGGACCCATCACACCGCAGCAGATTCAGGCTCGCTTTGAAACATTGAGAGATTTGAGCCAGGAAGAAATGGATGCGTTGAACAAGAGACTTGTCAAGCGACTTGATTGGAGACTCATGCCATGCATCACTCTGATGTTTCTCATGAAGTAAGATTTCCGAAGCGTACTTTTGCATCGTTGTGCTTACCAGACCTAGCTACCTTGACCGCATCAACGTGTCCAACGCACGCCTGGCTGGGCTACAAAAGGACTTGCACATGAGCGACACTATTTGGAATACGGGTATAGTGCGTTCCTCCCGCAATCACAAGGCCACCCCTACACATGATGATCTTGAGAGCCTACGCTAACGTTGTACCTCTACCTCCAGTCCACTTTCTACGTCGGCTATCTCGTTGGCCAACTCCCCGGTAACCTGTGGCTCGCAAAGGCCGACCCAAGATGGCTTCTGCCGTCCATGATGATGGCATGGAGTACAGCGACAATCTGTATGCCAGCAATGACCAGTGGAGCTGGCTTCGCCGTGTGTCGCTTCTTCATCGGCTTGTCCGAGGCGCCTTTCTTCCCCGGTATCACGCTGAGTATGTCCAAGTGCACTAAGCCATCAATTGAAGACCTGGAGCTGACGCGCAACAGTGACATCTTCCTGGTACACCAAAGAAGAGAACCCCATGCGCATGGCTATCTGGCATGCCGGAAATACCATGTCGAATATCTTGTCTGGGTTCTTGGCTGCCGGCATCTTGACAAATATGGACGAGGTTCTCGGACTCCACGCATGGCAATGGTTCTTCATCATCGAAGGCGCTGCATCTATTCTTGTGGCCGCTGGTGCCTACTTCCTGCTTCCCTCGTGGCCGCACAACACCAAATGGTTGACCCCGGAAGAGAGCGAAATGGCCATGTACCGCGTTCAAGTGTCCAACGGCGGCCATGACGAGGGCGTCGGCGGCACATGGGATGGTGTTAAAGCCGCAGCCGCAGATCCATTTACCTGGTACTTCTGTCTGATGCACTTCGCCCTCGTAACAGCGCAAAGCTTCAAGGACTTCCTGCCATCGGTACGTCCCCGTGTCAAGCACCACTGTGCTACTTATCCTCCGCGTGCTAACCCCAAGAAAACAGATCATGAAGACATTCCACTTCTCCGAACTAACCACCTACCTCGTCCAAGCCCCTCCCTACGCCATCGCTTATGCCTTCGCCTGCGGAATGGCCTACACATCCGGCCGCTTCCAAGAATCCTACTACCACATCGTGCTCCCCATCGTCATGTCCGCCGTCGGCTGCGCCGCCCTCATCGGCACCCTCAACATCGGCGCCCGCTACGTCGGTCTCATCCTGCTCATCAGCGGCACCTACTCCGGCCTCAACCTGCAATTGAGCTGGGAGACGACGCTTGTCCCCGCGCCTAGGAGCAAGAAGGCGGCGCTTATTGCGATTGCGAATTGCATTAGTCAGACGAGCCATTGGTTTAGTCCGTACTTCTTTCCGACGAACCAGGAGCCGTTTTATCGGCTGGGTGGGGGGTTGATTCTGTTTGGGTGCGCGGCTTGTGTCGTTAGTGCGACGTTGGTTAAGATGAGGGCGAAGAGTTTGAATAGGAGGTTGGATGAGGCGGAGGGGTGGAGTGAGCATACGGGTGTTGAGAGGGGGTGGCGGCATGTTTACTAGTTAGCTGGGGAAGGAAGAGTAGCTGGTCTAAGATAACAGGATGGAGTTTACGAATTTACGAATGGGTGTTACCTAGTATTTGGTTGTATAAACAATGATTCAACGTACGTACATACTTCGCAGATCAGCAGGCAAGGGTGCTTTTATGAGTCCCCGTACTAACGACATAAAGACTACTGTTGACAAGTCTTTTACTGAACATGTTGTGAATGTCAATGCTAGTTTTTAGCACTCCCGACGACTACAAAAACGCGGAGACAGACGAGGGCATCGTTACTTCGTCTATGACTGACTACTTCCCAGTTGCATCCTTCAGAAGCTTCTAGCACCTGAATACGCGGCGGAGGTAGACACAGCACCTCGTAGTATAATGAAGAACAATGTAATGGATGACCTCGGAAGTGTTGGAGTTACCAAGGTAGTTGTTCGCTTAGTAAGAGAAGTTAGGGCTGACGTCGGGTGGTCAGTGCTTCATGCCACTTCCGTCGCGTCTGACATCGTGACCCCCTGCACACACACGACACCACGAAGCTTGTTGCTCATCCACAAGGATGCTAGTTGAGAGACGTACGAATCCTTCTTGCCACTACGCCGCATGCGTCCGCGCGCCGCGCACTTTGGGCACCGGAATGTCTGATTTAGCATCGGCACTTTCCTCTGGTAACGAGAGAAGCATCGTCGTCAGCCCGTGCTCACAGCACGGATGCCGCCGGTAGCGCACTTCCGTTGCTGCCTTCTGGTCATCTAATCTCAGCTCTGCTCCCTCCGGACGAACCACACGCCCCAGCCGTCCTGTGACCGCGAAGCTATGTGCGCCGGTGAGACATCACCAGGATGATAGCAGCCGTCCCTGGACTGTCATTCGGTAGCCAAGAAGTATACCTGGACGTAAACCACGAGGCTTTGCTGTGGCTTCGTGTCCGCCGTCCTCCTCCTTGCTCGTATGCGGGTGTCTGCGGCCAGTGGAAGAGTATCACGGCACCAATGAGACTGTTTCTCACAACTATCTTCGATGATTTGACGACGCTGATCAGCTTCTTTTGACATGGCCGCTAAGCGCGTCAGAGGAAGAACAGCCGTTATGCTTCACACCAGGCAAGGATCGTATCCCACTAGTCCCGGGCTTCGAGACGGTGTCTACAGAGCAGGCTCGTCGCGGATGTTGCGACCTGTCCAGAGGGTCAACAACTCCCTTTATATGCCGTCATTTCGATATCTTGGAACACTCATGTGTCTTTTCATTCCCTTCCACGTACCTTGCGCGAACTTGTTTCAAGACGACACCATCATCGGTCCGAACACCAGCCCCACAGTATGTGTATTCGAGTAGTCGAGAAGTTTCCTGTTTGTGGATGTATCTACCACACGCATTCGGTGGATCGATGCGCTTACTATGGTCGGCATCCTGTGGTTGACAAAGTCGTCTGGGTTGGGGCTGCTTGTCAGCATCACAAGACGTGCTGATACAACTCACCTACATGGCTTCATTGGGGCTTGATGTCTCGGTTCCCTCGCTGCCAACTGACGATGCCATGACTAAGGACAATACCTCTCACATCAAAGCGATGATATCCTGGGTTAAGACCAACTTCGGTGATCAAGTCGGAGGCTTTTGCACAAAGACAGGCAACAGGATATTGGTAAGACGTGATCTGTATGTTTGTGGTCGGATTCAGAGGACTATCTACTAACTGATGGGCGCAGACTAAGGCTAGATTGGCGATAATCGCCCTCTGGCCATGACAGAAGTCCACCGAAAGGGACGTCTGAGTACGGTCAACCTCCAACCCATGTTCGGTCACAACCGCTCCGCCAGTGACGGAGGCATGTACCACCATCATGGACAGCGCCATTCTCATTCCAACTTGAAACGCCTCCGGAACTGCCACTACACGTGTGCGCCATTCATCACATCGACTGCTATATTGCTTTCCGGATGTCAACGTAGTACAAAGACCACCGAAACAGTCGTCCAAGCAGTCTCTCAAGATGAACGCGGCCAGATAATGGAATAAATCCATCACTCACTGCTGCACAATGTTCTGGCGTTTGGGATATCTCTCCTCGTCCTGCCGAGTCGGACTGGTGACGACACCCTCCCTTCTCCCACGTTCTTCACGCCTCCCCGTACGACTCGACTCGCTACCGGCTGACGACGCAGGACGTGACCGACCGCGGTTGTGGAATGATCGGATACTCTGCATAATTCTATGAGAAGCACGATCCTTTTCCCGGGGCTGAACACCTCCGGCGTCGCTGTTCTCTGATTGCCTAGGCAGAGCGGGTGGGATGGAAACACTTCTCTTCGTCTTTGCAGCACCGCCGCTGTATACTG